TGGACTTGCAATCGCTTCTGTAGTGCTTTGGCATGATTATTCCGCTTTGGCATGTTTATTTTCCAGCGGTCCAAAGCCGTGCTTGATTATTTTGGGGTTATGCACTGTGCTCTGTGCATATGTGATGGCCTCCTTACAAAAACCGTAAACCCTGCCATGTTTATTGTTCTCTTGTGTATACACGACTGTGCTTGATTATTGTTTCTTTCTGGAGTGCATCTGCCATGATTGCTTTCTTCTTCCGTGGTCAAGAAGCAACAGTCTCGCGACCCTCATGCTCAGACTCAGAGGTCTGTTTCTGTTCTGTTTCTTAATTGAGGTGAAGGAAAAGTTGTTTCTTAGTAGACCCTAAACCCACAGAAAAGCTTTTTCAGGTACAAACCAAAAAAAAACAGTGTGCAGAATCTCCGTAGCCGTTTGCGACAGAGCGATGATGGACGATGACGACGTCCCACCCCCGAAACGAAGAAAAGGAGGACAGAAACAGCGGTTGCAACAGCTGGCTCGCGAGGAAACCCCGGCGACGTCTTCTACTGCGGATTCTGGGTTGGCACAATTCCTTGAGGAGGCTTGGGCATGGGGGGACTTGACGCCGCAGCAAGTCCAGCGAATAGCTGCTCTGACGAAGAAGGACATGTTGGCAGCTGGCTTGACAGAGAGCGATGTTCCGGGCCGCCTAAAGAAGCTTGCAGAAATAGGCACTGCAGGGGCCCACTCAAACAACTGCCACAGGGACCTGATGGCTTATCTGCCTGGCAAATGCAAGCTGCCGAGGCCGTTTCAAGAGGTCCTGCCCTTCAAGACTGGACAAAGTGCTCAAGCTTTCATGCTGCCGCACGAAGTCTTTTCGGCACTTTACCACCACTATCCAGGGTACTGGCAAGCTTCCTTTCTACCTGGTGGGGTTCCAGCTTTGCAGGCTTTCTGGAAACACTTTGACAAGCATCCGTGTATGGCGGATGGGACATTGGCTGACAAAGATGACTTCAGAAAAACTTGCTTGCCTTTGGCACTACACGGCGATGCCGTCCCAACCACTGGCCTGGGCAAAGTTTGGGCCAAGCTCCTGCAGACCTTCAACTGGCACTGTATGCTCTGCAGGGGCGGCAGCAAGGCAACTTTGTTCCTGGTCTGGTCTGTGTTCGAGCAGCTTCTTGTCGCCGGTGACAATGGGACGTTGGAGACTTTCTTTCGGATCCTCAAGTGGTCCTTTACAGCCCTCTACCACGGCAAGTGGCCTTCCCACGACTGGAAAGGAAGACCGAGCCTGGCCGCATAAAGTATTCTTTTCTTCAGTCAAATATGTTTGTATATATAGATTAAGATAGATATATATATCTATGTATATATACACAGATGGTTTTGTTGCCATATGAATATTTACGAGGGTTCGCTACATGGTTACTTTTTCCTGCTCCCAAGTTTTCTTTTGTATTCGTCTGCTGCCATGATTACTGTATACTGTTCTGGCGCTTTTTTGCATCTGTCCAACCAAAGCTCAGCAAAGGTTCCCAGAGGGCTCTGTGCCTGCAAGAAAGGCTGGCGACTGGCTGGCCAATGGGTTCTGTGGAGTCCTTGTCTGCCTGCAAGGGGACTTAGAGTTCTTCGCCAAATCTTTGTCTCTCCCACGCTGGAGCAGCAATGAGAACTGTTGTCCCCTGTGCCCTGCAACCGGCTCAGGAGCTGCCATGAATTGGAGAAACTTCCGAGAGACTGCTCCGTGGGTCGGGCTCTGCTGGCGCCCGGCGAGCTGGAGGGCATTTCCTGAGAGGAGCAAATGCCCTTTGTTCGACATCCCTGCAGTGTCTGGAGCGACAGTTGCAGTGGACTATATGCATAGCAAATATCTTGGATCGGACATGTACGTGTACGGGGGCCTCTTCTACTACATGTGCTTTTACTTGATGACGGACACCCCCCAAGCCAATCTCCTCACAATTTGGAGTGAGCTCCAAGAGCTCTACCGGCTTCTCGGTGTGAAGCATCGCTATGCCTACTTCAACAGACTCACGATGTTCGTCCGCAAAAGCGGGCCCCCCAAGCTTCGGGGACGAGCAGCTGAAGTCAAGGGCCTGGCTCTGCCCATGTTGCACCTCTGGGAGAAATACATGAACGGGCAACTGCAGCTCCACAGGATGATCCTCGCCATGCTCAAGACCAACTGCACGATGGAGCTTTTGTTGGACGAGTACCGCGATGAGGACTTCTTCCCCCAGGCTGCGGCGAACCAGTTCAAGGCAGCAGCCTTCCAGATGGCTCACTTGCATGGACTCGTGGCAGACCACTTCCATGAGCAAGAAGACTGCCCCTGGCTCTGCCACACAACTGCGAAGCTGCACATGGTGTTGCACAGTGCACTGTTGGCTGGCACTGTAAATCCCAGGCTGGTTTGGTGCTTCGCCAATGAGGACTTCATGGGCATCACTCGCAAGGTGGCACAAAACTGCGTTCGTGGCACAAAGGCTGCTGCTGCCAACACAAAGATGTTGGAACACTGGCGAATAGGGATGGGGCTGCACCTGTCGTCCGTTGAGTGAAAACACAAGCGCTTTCTTTCCACTCGAAGACTTGGTCATGGTTACTTTTTCTTTTTCCTCTCAGACGGAGTAGCAAGAACGACCCTAAACCCAATCCTGCACGTGAAAACAACCCTAAATCCGAACAAAGCTTCAAGGGTGTTCAAGGCTGTTCACTGCGGGGTTCAAGCTTGTTGCACTTGTCATGGTTACTGTGGGATGGGTTTTTGGGGTTGAGTTTTAGGGACGACCCCAAACAACCCTAAATCCGAACAAAGCTTCCAGGGTGTTCAAGGCTGTTCACTGTGGGGTTCAAGTTTGTTGCTTTTGTCATGGTTACTGTGGGATGGGTTTTTGGGGTTGAGTTTTAGGGACGACCCCAAACAACCCTAAATCCCAACAAAGCTTCCAGGGTGTTCAAGGCTGTTCACTGTGGGGTTCAAGCTTGTTGCTTTTGTCATGGTTACTGTGGGATTTTTTTTTTGGGGTTGAGTTTTAGGGACGACCCGCTTCCCAATCCTACACCTGAACACCAAAAAAAATCCAAACCAAGCTTCAGGGACGTTCGTGGGTGTTCTGTCTGGGGTTCAAGTTTTTTGGAGTTGCCAGGACATTCAAGGATGTTTTGTCTGGGGTTCAAGCTTTGGAATTGCACATGGTTACTTTCCGATGCACGTCTCCTATATGAGACATGATGATGCTTGCTTTCATGTGCACTCTCTCCACATGGTTATTTTTGCAGTTTTGATAACCCTAAACCTTTTCTGAGCTAATATACACACCATGGACACACTGGTGCGAATGTTTGAGCTCTCGACATGGTTATTGTTCTGCGAAACTTTGAGCTGTCAGAGTTTTCTCAGCCCTACCTACACTGACTTCCCGGTTTGTGGGTTTTGGTCGGTGTGTTACCGTTGGCCGGGTGACAGGGCGGCCCAGGCACCTTGAAGCCAACGCCCCTTTCGAGGGGTATGACAGCGGGACGATGAGCTAAAGTGCCCGCTGGGGTGCTAATCTGCAGGCGGAAGGCAAGAAGAGGGGTGTCGTGACTCATGGGCCTGCGGTGCCCGCATTAAGGCGGTGTCAAATCCGTCGCCTGGGGTTGTGACCCGCACTGCAGGGCAAGGGCCAGGGAAGGGAGGCCACGATACGACCATGCTTACTGTGTATGCATCCTGGCTCTGGATTTTCATGCTTATTTCTGATCAATTTCATGACTTTTCAGCTATTGAAAAAAGTTAATTTCCATAGTTAATTCCACAGAATTAACTAATTTTTAGTTAAAAATTTTATCTTAAAATTAACTCTAAAATTAACTATTAGTTAATTCACCATTTCTAACTAATAGTTAATTTTGATGCTCAAAATTAACTATTGCCTATTAGTTAGGAATTTGCCTTAACCGATCTATTGGGAAGCGTGTTTGTGCGTGCGTGCATGCATGCGTGCGTGCGTGCGTGCGTGCATGCGTGCGTGCGTGCGTGCGTGCGTGCGTGCGTGCGTGCGTGTGTGTGTGTGTGTGTGCGCATGTGTGTGTGTGTGTGTGTGTGTGTGTGTGCGCGTGTGTGTCTGAGTCTGTGTGTCTCTGGATCTTTGTGTGTTGGTGCGTGCGTGTGCGTGCCATGTGTGTCTGTGTTTGTTTGTGCTGCGTGTGTTTGCGTCTGTGTGCGTCTGTGCGTCTGTGCGTGTTTGCGCGCGTGTGTGTGTGTGTGTGTGTGGGCGTGTGTGGGAGTGTGTCTCTGTCTGTGTGTGTGCGTGTGCGTGCCATGTGTGTCTGTGTGTGCATGTGCCGGTGCGTGTGCGTGCGCACTTCTCTGTCTGCGTCTCTGTCTGCGTGTGTGTGTGTGTCTCTGTGTGTGTGTGTGTGTGTGCGTGTGTGTTCAGTGTGTGTGTGTGTGTGTGTGTGTGTGTGTGTGTGTGTTTCTGTGTGTGTGTGCAATGGTTTCTCAGTGTTCGAGCTTGCGTGTGTACGCACCAGCCTGTGCGCGTGCTTCTGGGCATGTGCCTGTGTTTCTGTCTCTGCATCGCCGGTCTCCTTCCTGTGCCGAAGGCAAAGGGCGAGGCAGCCTATTTTCCAGACGAGCTGCTGCGGCTTCGCAAGCAGCGGCGGACCGGGCGCAGGAAGTCTAAATCCAATGCCAAGAAGTGAGTTGCGATTTTGGGGCTGGCCCTGCAAAGTAGATGTCGTTTGAATCCTGTGGAACCCAAGCGCTCGGAGCAGCATCACGTTGTGAGTGAGTGTACATAGGGCAGAACCGCCCATTTCATAGGTTTATGGCTTTGGCGGAAAGGTAATATATAGGTCCGTATAGTTAGCCGTCGCAAGGGATCCTCAGATGATGCTGCACATGTGCGGGAGAGTCAGCTGCGGTGGAAAAATCATGTTTGCATTCGTCGAGAGTTGGGTCGAATTGTTGCTCAGCTTAGATGTTGACTCAGAGCTGCTCAGCAGGGCCGGCGGCATGTCCCTGCCTGCCAACTCAGGAGTCGCAAGAGAGCCTGGGTGGTCGTGCCGACAATCTCGCCAGACGTGAAGAAGAATTTCATGAAGAAGAAGAAGTTGATGGGAAAGCTGGTGTGTCTCCAAGACTGTTTCAGAGAGATAACGAAGCTACTTGGATGCATATTCCATCAATGAGCAGTCATATGGGTTTCATGCTAGGCCACGCACAGTGACTGACGACGACCTTAGGTGGCTTTAGCGGCTTGGATTCCGGATATCCTGCTATATCATGCAATGTCCAACCTGACATCGCTGTTCGGCCATCCCGGCACGCTTATGCTCTTGCATGAATTCAGTCCTTTCATGGAGCATTTTGTTGCTGTCCGAAGCGATTTTTCGGGTCTGAAAGCTTTTTCCGAGAAGGAGTGGCAAGCCATGGCACCCACGTGCGGCTATGCAGCTTTCCCCCAGGCCAACAACGAAGCCGGCATCAACTGGCTGGAGGAACTCAGAAGCCGGAAGGACCAGGAGACAGTCACCTTCTACCCGACCGTGGCAGAGGCCATTTGCTGGCGCTTCCGAGATTCAACGCGTGAGTTTTTCAGCTGCAGAATGGCTTTTGCTGCAGTGAATCCCGAAACTAAGCCCAGAGTCCCCCTTTACACCTTACATGCTTATAGAGCCCGGAAGGTGACGTCACGGCGGTCGCGGGCGTTATTAAGTTTGGAGAGTTTAAGGTTTGTAGTGATTAGTAGTTAGCTAGGATTCAGGGTTTAGAGTTCAGCGTGCCCGCCAATAATGACACTAAGCTTCATCACCGTGCTCGAAAAGCCACGGTGGGCAGACTTCTGGGTTTCGAATTTTCGGACTTAAGGTCTAGGGCTTAGGTTTCGGAATTCCTGTTAATGTGGTACCGGCTTTTGCTGGTATCCCCCCCAAAGAAACGAAAACCATCTTCAGTGTGTTGCCGGGGCCACGGGTGGGGGTTTGAGTGGGTTACGGTTTGAGTCACTTCAACGGGGGATTCGGGGGTCCGAGGATTGATTTGGGTGACGGGGCTGAGGGTTCCAGTTCAATAAATTTCGCTGCTTCAGTACAGTCTAGGAGGCTTCGATAGGTTTCGGAGGTTTGGGGTGGTCTGCTTAGGTTTCCAAGAAAGGTCGGTCGACGTCAAGGGGCGCACTTAAGGGGCGCACTTATAGAGCGCATTTTGGCTAAAAGGCGGAACCAATATATATATCAATTTCGTTTGTTTCCGTTTCGACAGATGTTTTTTGGCGATCGACTCGTATATTTCCAGACTGCATGCAGGTAGTTCTGTTGTCAACTTCGTTTTTTTCCGTTTCGACAGATGTTTTTTGGCGATCGTCTCGGATTTCGACGGACTGGCATGCATGCACGTCAGTTTTTCTGCTGCTCGTGAGATGCACAGACGCGACGTACCGTAGAATTTCGGCTCGAATATAATCGTTTAAACAGCACGCATGAAGCAGCAGCCCGAAACCTGAAACGGTTTTTTTTTACAGTGGCACTCATGACGGCATTCATGTCTTTTCGCAATTCACTCATGACGGCATTCATGTCTTTTCGCAATGCACTCATGACGGCTCTGGCCTCAGATGCGTTTTGTTATAATGCATGCATGGACCCGCTGCAGTTTCACCATGGTTTTGAATCTGTTAATGTCCACGACTGCTATATATAGCCATTTGGCGCCAGGTGCAGCTAGGACCAAAGCCTATAGTTAAAATGGATGGGACGGATCGGAGCCGCTCGCCCGCAGGATCGTGGGAATGGCGGTGGGCGTGGAAGAAGACAGGCGATGTTTGGTGGTGGAAGTGGTTCAAGGCTAGCAAAGAATGGCTAGAAGAGAAGGCCAAGACGAAGCAGAATGAAGACCAGCCTGCTGCTACATCCCCGGCATCATCGCCCCGAAAGCGCAAGAGATCCCGGACTCCATGAGCTAGATGGCTGTCATGAGCCAGGAGCATGCACATTAATTCGATTGCAATGCATTTTGCGGCTGGTGACGTACTGGCTGCCGGTTAAGAGGCCACCGGCTCCTGATCTTCAACTTAAGATCTCGAGGGCCGCCCTGGATCTATCGGATCATTTGTGCTCGCTCAAAAATGCCTGCGAGTCCAAGTATTCTAGGCATTTTCACGACCCTGACCGATTTAATTCCAACATGCTGGTCCCAGGTGAGCGATGAAAAGAAGCTACACGAGACGCGAGGATACGGAAGGTGCTCCCCGCCCCCAGCACGCATGCATGCATGCAGGGTTTGGGATTTGAGGGATCGAGCTGCATGCATGTCGCACGCATGCATCCTGTGTGTTTTTTCGCAGAGTTTTTTGGCTCGTGCATATATTAGATAATATACTATATACGCATCCATGCAATTATAATATATATATATATATATATTTGATCCATCGAAGATGGCTGCCCGGCGAGTTTTTTTAAAGTCTCAGCGACAAGAGCGGAGTGAGTTTGTGTGCGGGAAACTGAAGATGCTCTTTGACGATGAGCACCTAGAGCTTGTGGGCAAAACAGGAGAAATGTTCCCACGCGGCTCTTTTCAGAAGCCTCACCTTCGTGCGGCTTTTCGTTTCACAGCAGAATGCAGTGGACGATTTTTCACGACCCGCCTTTGTAAACTCGTTGTTCGGAAGCTGCTGAATTTGCTGCAGATCGTTCCGATTCTGGCACCTGGGCAATCTTTCGCCAACTGGACCGATTGTCAGTCGAAACGACTGAAGTACATGGTTGCGAGGGCCAAGAGGAGCATAGCAGTGGACTTTGAATCGCCGCAGCCCGATGCAGCTCGTTTGCCTTCTGCAGCCATGGATTGCCTTGAGACGCAAGTGTACGATCCGACTCCTGCTGCTTCGTTGCAAAAAATGTATTATATATATGTAGTATGTCCATGCAGACACACAGTTTTTCACGCATCTATGTTCAGGAACGGACGAGCGACATGTGTCCCGAGGACGCTATTGCTTTCAAAGGAGCTGTGCCGAGTATGATCTTAAATTGCAGAGGACGAAGAATGGACCCCATTGCAGTGGCGACAGTCATTGATGGACTGCTTCATTTATAAACCGATCGGATCCAAGCATGCATGCACGCATGGTTTATAACTATACTTTGCACGCATGCATATTATAGGACCATTTGGGATGGACAGCAGAAGAAGCCGAAGAGTGGTTGGAGGCCTTCGAAGACAAAGGGGGCAGATTAATTTTTATAAGACATGCATGTGAGCGATGCTCAGGAGTGGCAGCCCCGTGGTTGGGATGCTGACGAAGTAGACACCTTGTTGAAGGTCTTCTGGCCGCAATGTAGGATGTTTGAGCATTAATAAGCATGAGGGCTATCTATTGAATATATGTGATGCTGAGGAGATGGACGATGAAACCGAGGATTGTGGGCAGTTCGTATTCTGGTAAGAATGCACATAGAAGCATGCCAGTGGTGGAGGAATTATTGCGACCAAAAAAGAAGGCCTGCCGAAAATTGGGTCGCTTCATGTTTTCTGTATAGGGCCTGTAGTATCGTCCTGGGCCAGGATCAAAAGTTGGCCAGCAGTCTGTCACAGCCCGAGGTCCAAAAAACTGTGTTTCTTAAGATTCTTTTGGGATCTTCCAAGGTACGAGGATGTGCCGAAGCCATCTTTGGAAACGAAGCCACGTGTCACCCCCATGGCTCAGAAGCAGCTCAAGTTGGCCAAGAAGCTGGAGGTTAGAGAACAGTGTACACGCATGGCACACATGTCATTGGCAGCATTTAAAATGCATTCATGTATCACGCATGCACTCATGCATGCATATACAGGGACATTCATGTATCACGCACTCCTGCATGCATCCCACGCAAGCTAGCCATTCATTCCTGCAGGCCGAGAAAAATCGTGAGTGCTCAAAGAACAAGAAGACTCCCGCTGCTAAGAGCTCTGCAGCGAAGAAGCCCAAGCCGCCCTCGAAGGCTAAGCCGAGCAAGGCCCCGAGCAAGAAAGGCAAGGTTGAAAAGCCGACGAAGGGCCAAGAGAAGGCAAAAAGGGGTCAGAGTCACTACGGCCGAGCCTACGATGAGTATAAAGCCCGCTTTAGGCCCGGTGCTTGGAAAGTTTACAGTATAGATATTATATATTCACTCGTCCCTTCTAAGGCACGAGTTCGCCTGCGACCCGATGGGCAAGGTCTTCAGGGACGAGTTGTCCAAGAGTTGGCTGCAAAGCCAGGAAAGGTACGATGTGGTTTCGAAGATGAGTGCCAGCGAGAGATCCAAGAGACGGCTGACTTTGTAAGTTTGCTACCTGGTAGCTGTTTCCTCAGTTGCAAAGCACGGGAACAATTCGTTGCAATTCGGTGCATGGGTTTGTGTTGCTTCTAAAACAGCACGCCCATAATTCGATCGTACTTCGTCTGCCCGCATGCAACAGGAGAGCAGAAAACATTCTAGTCTTAAGAATCAGACGCATGTCTCCACACATGCACATGCATGGATCGACATGCATGATGGTTTTTACCTTTTTCGCAGCCTTTGGTCCCGAATGCTGCTTTGGACGAGCTCGCAGCAGGATCGAACTGTGGAGGCAGCACCCTGAGAGATCGAGGTTTTTTTTTGCATGCATGCACGCATGGGTTACCAGAATATGGTTATATATACTAGCATGCATCGAGGTACTTTGTAGGTTGGAAGTCAGGCACTCATGGGCTCACGCATGCATGCACGCATGGGTTAGGGTACGTAGCATGCATCGAGGTTTACACCTTGTTCGTTGGAAGTCAGGCACTCATGGGCTCATGCACACATGCACGCATGGGTTAAAGTAGCATTTTGTTGTAATTACCCTGGTGAGGTCGCTTTAACGAGAACCTTGTCGCCGACGATTTGTCGTTGCCTTGGCATCCTGATTCTTCGCAGATCGAGGTCTGTGCACGCATGCAAGTTTGACTCCTGAGTCAACTGCTGCTTTGGCTCTCCAGGTCATGTGCATTGAACCATGCAGTTGCAGGCATATCGTGGGATGTATACCATAGACCATAATTTGGCAGGGTTTGAGGCTTTATAGGGCTTTTTTTTGCGGGTCCGGTGCCATGGAGCCGCCGAAGGCAGGACACCAAAGCAAAGTTTGGGGAAAGCGGGTCATGCATGCATCTGGACCAGGATGATGAAGAAGCCTCCGCGGGGAAGGCACGGGCACGCACAGGGAGAAAGCTTTTAAACTATCGTGCATGCATCGAGAGGAGGACCCCGCCTCGCCATCGGCAAACGTCGCAGCCTTAGCAGGCATTCATATTTGCTGATACATATATAGTGCTCCCCAAACTATATATTTGTTGACCTGAAGACATTAAGGACACTTTGGGTTTCACCGTGGTTTCTTCTCCACCTCCGGTCCTGACCTCCAGCTGTATATGCACACTAGAATCCTGACAGCACTGAAACTAAGGAGCAGCCTGCAAAGAATGATCCGGTCGTCGAGGCCAGTTTGCGACCCTCTGCCCCCCGCCTGACAGCACTGAAATTAAGGAGGAGCCTGCAAAGGATGATCCGGTCGTCGAGGCCAGTTTGCGACCCTCTGCC